GCTGCTTAAACAATTGCCTGAGTCGTGAGAGTCGTTTGTTGAGACCCGAAGAGGCGGGATTCGGGGCCTGAGGCCGAGGACCGACCACCGTAGCCTCTGGCTGCTGTTTCTCCGTCGTACGCAGAATCGCGCCGAGCAGCGCATCAGCCTTGCTCGTATCCTTGGACTTGAGCTGCTGCTCCTGCTCCTGCTCCTGCTCCTGCTGTTGCTGTTGCTGTTGCTGTTGCTGTTGCTGTTGCTGTTGCTGTTGCTGTTGCTGTTGCTGTTGCTGGTGCTGGTGCTGGTGCTGGTGCTTGTGCTGATGCTGGTGATGGTGCTGGTGCTGGTGCTGGTATTGGTACTGGTACTGGTGCTGGTGCTGGTAATGATGCTGGTACTGTTGGCACTGATACTGATGCTGATGCTGGGCCTCGATTAGCTTTTCACGGCGCTTAGCGGCGCGGCGTTTCCCGAGTGGCGTCCGTGCTCTCAGTACAGCGAGTACCTCGTCGAACTCTCGGGGGCTCAACTCGAGGCTACAATTGCGCGAGCGAAGCTCGCACTTGGCTGGGACGGCGGGTGTGATCCAATCGAGAACGGCGCATCCGTTGGGGTCGACAGTCTCGCGCTCCTGTGCGAACGAGAGCTTGGAGACGAGTCGATCTAGGTCTCGATCACCACCTGGACTTACAGTCGTATTGGTGATGATGGTGGTGGTGTTGGTACTGGCATCAGCAGTGGTGCTGGTTGTGCTGGTGGTGGTCATGGTGCTGATGTTGATGTTAATGTTGGTGTTGGCGTTGGTGTTGGCGTTGGTGCTGATGCTGGTGCGGGTGCTGGTGCTGGTGCTGGTGCTGGTGCTGGTGCTGGTGCTGGTGCTGGTGCTGGTGCTGGTGCTGGTGCTGGTGCTGGTGCTGGTGCTGGTGCTGGTGCTGGTGCTGGTGCTGGTGCTGGTGCTGATGCTGTTGTTGGTGTTGCTATTGACGTTGGTATTGGTGATGATGCCGGTGCCACTATCACGACTGCGGCTGTCGTTGTTGTTATTGCCATCGCCATCGCCGTCGTCGCTGCTGCTACTGCAACTGCTCATTTTATTGTTGCCGTTGGTGCTGCTGATGCTAGTGTTGGTGTTACTGGTGCTGTCGCTGTAATCGCCACCGCCTCTGCCGCAACCGCCGCCGCCGACGCCGCTATTACCGTTGCTGCTGCCATTGCTTTTGTTGCGACTGTGTCCATCGCCATCGCCGTCGCCGCCGTTACCGTTGCCGTTGCCGTTGCCGTTGCCGTTGCCGTTGCCGTTGCCTTTGCCGTAACGAGTAGTATCGCTACCGCCAGTTTTACTCTTGGCAATGAATAGCGGTGGGGTGGTGGATTTGGTGGTGATGATGGCGACGTTGGCAGTGGTGGTAGCGGTGGCGGTGGTTGTGGCTATTACGACTGCGTTGGGAATCATGACGTTGGTAGTGTTGATAGTGTTGGTCGCGATGATAGTTGGGGTGCTGTTAGGGGTGGCCGGTGGGGCGACGATCGTGGCCACGTGGCTCGTGGTGGCGAGGACGTTGCTTGTAGGCGCAGTGGCGCAAACGCCCGAAATCGGGGCCGCCGTTTTTAGTAGTCCGTCGGGCCCGCAGAGTGGATTGAGTACGAGGTTAACGGGTGCCTTGCCAACGACACCACCAACACCAAGCCCGACGACGACCTCGGAGCCGTACGTGAGCCAGGGCGCGAGCGAAGGCACGAAAGTAGCGTCGTCGGGTGGAGCCGCGGCTCGCTTATAGCGCTTCTCCTGGCGCTCGTCGATGCTCAGCTGGGCTCGGAAGCGGCGAGCGAGGCCGTCGAGGCCCGGATCCGAGCTGGGCGGTATGGCCTCCCTCAGGGCCGGGAGGGTCGGCTGCTCGGGTGCCGTTGCGATGCCAGGGTCGGGTGGCCCGCAGGGGAGCGATCGGCGTCGCTTGCGCTCGCTGGCTGGTCTCGGAAGGCCCAGGACCGTGCCACTCGGGATCACCTCGACCTCGACCTCATCCTCCTCCTCGGCGCAACGGCAGTGATGCTTGCCGGGCTTGTCGCAAGGGATCTGCAGTCGATCGTCAAGCAAGTCTGCCGAGCGAAAGGAACTCATGTAGTAGACGAAGCTCTCGCCAGTGGCGGCATTGTTCGGCAACGGCGCAGGGCCTTTCCCCGATTTACCATCGCCGATGGCACTGGAGGAGGGACTTTGGCCGCCGTCTGTGGGGATGAGGAGCTTAGCCGGGAGGGCCGACCGTGCGGAGCCATCGTTTGCATCCTCGGGCTGCAGGGGATGCAGTGGACACTGCAAACGAGGGATATCCTCCATCCTCGGTAGGGCCCACACACTCACCTACAAATACACCGATAAGTGTTTTATCCATACTCAATGTCTCCCTCTGTCTCTCTCTCTCTCTCTCTCTCTCTCTCTCTCTATATATATATATATCTATCTATCTATCTATCTATCTATCTATATCTATCCATCTATCCATCTATCCAATGGCGACTTTACTTGTCGCGCATTCCATTCGCGCTGACGGGCGCGCGGTATTGTAAAATTTCCGAGCAAACAATGCGAAATTATTCCGACGATCGCTTTAAGCTACTCGACAGCGGAACAATATGCTTGCAATGGAATCGCCATGTATAAAAGCTCTAATATGGTGGGAGCATTTTAAGGGTTCAAGTTTATTCGAAAGTTCGTTTATTCGATAAATGATGAAAAAAATGATGCCGTTAGATAATGATATTACGCATTGGTGTAGCGGTACTTTAGGATATAACGGCGAATAGCGGGCGTAGAGAAGTAAAGATCAAACCAGACATTGCGACGGTGTAAGTGATAAATGAGTAAGTATCGTAAGAACAATTAACAGATTCGTGTTTCTTTGATTAACATAGCGTTAGTGTTGGAATTGTTTGCGCCAATCGGTCGCGGCAATCGATTAATTTGTTCATTTCTTTCCGAGAGGAGAAAAGTTTCGTAGTAATAAAGCCGTGAAAATAGTAAGGATAGTCGGTGTGGCGTTATTATTTAATGCAGGATTTTTCGATAGAACGAGTTACGACTGTTAATGTACGAACAAACGCAGTTGAAAGAGTCGAAAAGTGAAAGGCCTACGATTGACCAAAGTCCTCATTGGGCACTGCTGATGAATTTCCGTATTGGTGTCGTATAAGGTTAACGATATGGTAAGGATAACGAATGGAAAGTCTTCGAATCTGTTAGATTCCCTATGAGTAATGGGAGGCTCGACCGTAGGCACAATTTATAAAATATGACGACAATGTGCTGGAACATCGTCCGTTATGTTCGAGCGAAGCGCCCATTTTCGTATCAATGGTTCGGGCGATTGTTGACTGAATAAAAAATTCGAATTAGACCACGCGTTGTTTGTATAATCGATCGGTCTTTTTAATATTATTATAATCTCCTTCGACCAGCTCCTTCACCAACCCAACCCCAATCGACCGAAGCCCGTGCACGTATTTGAAACGAAGATGAATTTTTCGTTAAAATAACGGCACGCGCGCTCTAATCGTTGGCAACGATTGAAAAAATTGACGATAATGAGTTTAATACCTTATCAGGGTCGCGCGATGTTGAAGGATGGAAAAGAGCGGGACTCTCGCGACTATCGGTCTTGGCGCACTCGGCACAATGTTCTCTAGGGGTCTGATTAAATGAGCCAGGATTGTCGGAATTATCCGATTAATCGATTGCAACGTTAATGAATAATATTTCACGAGAGGAGAAAAGGAGTGGAAGGGTGAACGGAGGAGCGTCTCAGATTTCTTTCATCCGGGAGGAGCACTTACCTCCAGTGAGTTGCCGTCGCCGAGGCTGGCGAGGGGGAAGGTATGCTCGACGGGTGTCTCGCGAAACTTCCTGAGGTGCTCGTCGCCGGGGCTGTGCTGGACGATCCTCGTTGCGACGTAACTGGGCCTGGCGCCGTTGGTCCGCGACCACCAGGCCGCCACCTGGCTGAAGTGGAGCCGCGAGCGCACGGCTTGATAAAGGCCCTGCGAGTTCATCGTCTCCGGGCTTCTACGTGCAGGTCATTCGGGCTCGTTATTTAACTGCTTCGCAACCGGCACGGTTGCCCCCCGGGTCTCGCGCGCAAGTGCCGGATGTTGCCCCCGTTGGGCCTCCGGCCCCCTTGCGCGACTCTCCTCGAGCCCGAGAGGCGGCGGCGCCGGCGGCCGACGACGCGCTCCCCAACTTACTTGCTTGCTACGACGCCGATGCACCAATACTCCAAGAGCATCTCCGACGAGTGCTGCCATGACGTTAACAAGGGCACGCTCAGCACCCGGTGTTTGCTCTTCGACTTAATGAGGCCGCAAGGGCAGTCGCTGCAGAGGACGACCTCCACGCAGAGGTACGAGCCGATGGCGACCCGCTCCGTTATCTCGCGGACGAGCACTAGGTATCTGTCGCACTGCGAACACACAAGCAAACCAGAGGCAAAGCAGCCCGGTTATTATAATGGGATCCGCAGTTCTGGTAATCCGCGTGCGCCACCATTTATCTCGTCCCGTCGACGTCCCGCGTCTGCGCGACTCGCAGTTTTCCCTCGATCGCCAATTTCACCGACGACGACATCGCAATCGACAACGCCCTCATCCTCCTCGCGACCACGATCTCCTCGTACATTACCACAATTCTTCAGATTTATCCCAAAGTATGTAGCGACTTATGTCTTGGTTGTGTAGAGCGAGAGCCAAGCTACTTTGTCCAAGCTACTTTGTCCCTCGTCCACCGAGGAGCTCTCTCTCTCTCTCTCTCTCTCTCTCTCTCTCTCTCTCTCTCTCTCTCTCTAGCCAGAGAAATTACGCGCGGCATTGTTATTGTCGGCATGCTAAGTAATAGTTAATTTTATTGGACGATTGGGTTAATCACGACATATTGCGCAACGCAGGTGAAGATCCGCGAGTTTGTCAAACTCTCCGCTACCCTCTCATTCATTTCGTTTGCATAATTTTCTGTATATGCTCGTCCTGTTTATGCGAATAAGTTTTGTATGTAATTTGAATTTAAAATAAAATAATGAAAAAAGGCAAATTAATCGTAGCCGTACTAATTAATTTTAAGCGAAGTAAATAAATTTCGCTTTCTATCGCATCATCATAACAAATTACCGAGTAAATTGAAACAATTTGACAAGAATTAAAAGAAAAATCAACACCATTCATTGTGCATTTGAGATAAAAGAATTAATGAGAAAGAAGAAGAAAGAGAAACAGTTTCCTAGAGTAGAACGAAAGCGTTGTTAACGGTAAAAGTGAAACTTAACGAATGCGCGCGGGGGAATGAAAAAGGCCAGCCGCCATTGATGTAATGAGCGAGATTATCAAGTTTTCGTACAAAATCACCGATAAGTAAGTCTAACGCAAAGGTTATAAGAGTATTCGTCGGGAGGATTTCGATTTTCATTCGGCCGAACGAAAATGACAAAGCATTAATTATCGAACAAAGTTGTCGGATTTTTTATCTCTTTTTTTCCCTTTCTTCTTCTTATGGTTTTTTTCCCCCTTTTTTTTTCTTTTTAATCCAAAAAAAAGTCATTCCTCCTATTAGGTAAACGATAATCTAAACGAATCGTTGTTTAATTATGTAGAACCAGCAAAGCAACCGAACGTATGATTAGTTAAATTGCCAATAGAATTGTGCACAGGCCAAAGCAGACAATTAAATCGATACGCAAATATTAATAAGCGACCGAATATAATTGGAATAATTAATAATGAGGCATTAAGTAGAGGTTGCATAAGTAAGCCGAGAGACTTTCATACGGTTCTTTCAATATTCTCCATCGTCTCGTAATAGAAAACAAAATACGCCAGTTGTGTATCAAAATTGCCTCTTGTCATCAATAGAAAATAAACGTTGATACTCGATAACTTTTATATCGGCACTTGAAAGATATGAAAGTTGATATTTTTAAATTTTAAGGCCATATTAGCCAAGTACAGGCAACCTTCATGAACCTCTCTTTTGTTTACATGCTCTCATTGTATTTTTCGATAGATATTACGACAAGGATCATCAAGTTCTAATGCTTTCGTTTACTACAGCATTCCATTTTCAAAATCTATAGCGCGCAAATAATAATATCGCTTTATTAAATCGGCTTAAATAGTTATTGGCCTATAAATATTCATATGGTTGGCTGTAAACATTTTCCATCGTCTTTCGCGACAGCAGGAGATAATCCTTTAGGATTTATTTCAATCATAATGGAACCCCTAGTCCCGCCCCCCATCCGCGTGAACGCAACTTATCCGCCATTTTCATTAAAAATACCACAAATCCTTAATACTCCCAACTAGTCGATCTCGAAACGTCAGCCCCCTCGCTCTACCGCCCCTCAAATTTTACCTCCTTATCGTTACTCTTTATGTTAATCGTACAGCCCAGTATAATCGTGTGATTAACGGTGCGGCACACGCCAAACACTACTCAATTTATCCCGTATGTATCCGAGGAGGATAATCTCCTTTAATTGAACGTCCAACTTGGAATATTTAATTCAAAATAATCGCGACCACGTGCAATGCAACAATACAGCATAACGATCGAATATGATGACGCGCGTCATTCTTGTTCAATGTAATTCGATGGCCATTATTATATAAAGCAAGAATGGACGATTGCCGTTGTTGAAAAATAGGAGTAGTGGCCCGGTAATGGGGCGATGGGGGCGGTGAGGTGTGGTGAGGTGAGGTGTGGTGAGGTGTGGTGAGGTGTGGTGAGGGGATGGGAGGGAGGAGGATAGGGCAGAACAGGATAGCGCACCACTTTCATCGGCGATCGCTCGACCCCGCGGAGTAACAAAGTCCTCCAAGCAAGTTGCCCGAGCCAGGTGAAACGTAAAATCCAGTGGCTTTGAATGGGGTGGAAAAGGACGACGAGCGAACGTCTGTAATGGGAGTCCGTGCCGTGTAAGGCCCCCGAAATATACGTTTAGCCGTGGCTATAATCCCCGGGTGAGGGAGCACAGGCTCGTTCATCGGGGGGGGGGAGGGGTGGGGCGCGGCGGGGCGGGGCGGGGGGGGGGGAGGGGGGGGGGGGAGGGGGGGGGGGAGGGGGAGGGGGGGTGGTTAGCCGAGGAGCGGCGAGGACTCAGCGGTAAAGGGCTCACCAAATAGTTGTCCTTGTCGCAGACGTGGTTGTTGGCAGAGACTTGGAGAGCGGGCACGCAGTGCGGACCCTCCTTGTAGCCCCGCGGCAGCCCTTGTATCCTGCCCTCGCAGACGAGGATACCAAGAGCTCGGACAACGCTCAAAGCACTGCCGATGCCGTTAGGGCTCGACTGGCCGACAGTGCCGGCGCCTAGGCAGTGCATTTCTGAAATTGAATAAGATCCTCGTTAAATTATCAACTTTTATGGGAATTGTCATTTTTATGAGACGGGGGATGATGTCTGTCTGTCTGTCTGCTTGTGTGTGTGTGTGCGTGTGTGTGTTTAACGAAATTCCGCTTTTCACGCGAATAAGAAAGATACGAGC